TCTTTCCTGTTAGTGTGTCAACCTCAAGTTCTGTGTCGACATCGTCGTCAATATCAACATCATCAAGTGTGTCCACTTCATCAAGGTAATGTGTTTGCTTGGCTTAAACTATTATATCAAAGCAAGATCTAGTACACTGGTATTTTCGTCACGTTCTAATGTAGTTCTTGTAGTAAGTTGCAAAACTAGATTACTAAAATGGCGTACTATTTTGATTAAGCTACAGAACTGCTTATTAAATAATACCTTTGGCTTTGCACAATTCTCAAGGAAGGAGCAGTCCATGTCACATGATAACCCTTGTAGATTTCCCAAGCCGTCTTAATTTTTTACCGGTATAGGTATTAAAGAGTCGATAGATTTTATAATTATTGATTCTTACTTCTAATTGAATATGTCATAGTTGGCATTAATAACCAATTTTCGTTTCTTTTAGTGTGTCCACATCAAGTTCTGTGTCGACGTCATCGTCAATATCAACATCATTAAGTGTGTCCACTTCATCAAGGTAATGAGTGATTATTATTTAAATTTAGATTAACTCGTTATCTCAACTAACACAAACAAAATTGTAGTTTTTTGAGGGTTACTCGCTTATTTTTTTGATATTTTCAATTGTTGGTTAAAGCCTAAATGCAATTCAGATATAACCTTTTTCAACAGTGTGTCTACTTCAAGTTCTATCTCAACATCATCGTCACTTTCAACATCGTCCTCGATATCGACTTCATCGAGTGTGTCAACTTCATCAAGGTAAGTGTTTAAAACTTTTTTTAAGGTAACAGCCATCGTATTTTTAAAATGTTTCCTGTCGTTTTTTGAGGTTGAAAACGTGTATTAAGTACAACATATTCCGTGGCTAACTTCATTAAGTTTAAACAAAGGAAACGCCAGTTTAGTAAAACGGTGAAAAAATAACGACATTTTTAGATGTGAAAACCTGTCTGACGTAAATAACTGTTAGGATAAAGCTAGCTACTCACGAATATTGCATATAACATAAAACAGCGTTAGCTCTATTCAGATACGTCCTTCAATTTATTTGAAAGCACGAAATTCTTTTGGGATCAGGAATCAGGTTAAGAGGGTCCTGGCAAAAGGTTCCAGATGAAAGGTTTTCAAAACATAATTTCGACATATGCTAACTTTACCCAAAATTATTTCAATCACGGCATTTTGACCACGTTTAAAATTACCTTTAAACTGAGGAAAACCTGAAAATGTTAGTTTACTAAGATAGAAAAATACCAAAGAGATAATAATAAATCATAAAGGGACAGTTAAGGATGGTTAAGGATGTAGAAGATTAACACGGATTACAAACGACAAACTTGATAAATTTAAGCTAAACTTTCCAAAATGCGCAAACTGTGGCATAGCTCCTATAAATGTATGGAAACAGAAAGATAAAACCCTTCACAAGAGGAAACGTATTACAAAAAGAGGAAAGATAAATTATGTTTTTCTGTATTTAACTTGATTTCTTCCAAATATACCGAATATCCATGCTTCAGATATCCAGTTTGAAACCCCCTTGTATACAAAAACTCGTCAACTGACCATTCCGTTGGTAGGGCATCCGGCTTTTCAAAAGAAATAGCTTTTAAATAGTATGTTCTATGAAAATAAGCATTCTTGTTCCCTTTCAGTATCTCCACTTCAAGTTCCGTGTCTTCTTCATCCAGCGTGTCAACTTCATCAAGGTAACTAATCACTTGATTTGTAGAGACGCTTAGTTGTAACCGAACCCAAATTCACGTTAACAATGCGCTAAAGAACGCGTGTCTTTTTTTTTTTTTAAACACGGGCGTGTTAGCTTGACCCGCTGAATGTATTTCTCGTAACCTGAGTCGGACGCCAACGGCTCCTGGTTCTATTAATCGACCGCTTCTCAGCCGTGTTTTACCGCTGGTTAGATAATAGGCATATTTCCATTTTTGATAGCTGCCCAGCTTGCTGCAGGGTCTCGTTCATAGGCTCTCTGTTCCGATATCCGCTTGGTGCTAATTCCCCTCTCTTGTATTGCCTCTTTCGCAGAGAACCTGTCGTATCTTTTCTTAAGGGATATAGCTTTTATTTTAAGATCAAGCTTACGATATTTTTACTAATTTTACAAAGTATGCGACTAATGAATGTTGCCTGTTGTGAAAACTGAAAGAGGAGATAGCTTTGTAGGTAAAGCTTTCGATCTGTTGTAAAGGTAATCGCTTGTTTCGCTTTTAGCATATCCACATCAAGTTCTGTTTCAACATCATCGAGTGTCTCAACCTCTTCAACGTAATTAAGAATTGCTTTGTTTCAAAAACCGTTTGTGTCATTGATCGACATTGCCCAGTTTTAGTTTTTTTTATGTTGGGTGAACTTGCTAAAACCACTATCATTTGTGCACAGCTAACAATTGATGTTCTTTGTTTTAGCTTGTCGACTTCGTCAAGTGCATCAACCACGTCAAGGTAATGAAAAGCATGGTTGATTAAGTAACGTAACGTTGCATTGCTTTAAAGTAGTACATAGTCTTTCAATTTCGTTTTGTACTGTCATTTATTTACTGAAATGTCGAATTTTGGCTTTCATTATGGTTGGGAGTCGGAGTTTTAAGGTCCACGAAGAAGTCTTAAAAACATCCGACAGTTTTTATTTTAATTCGACGTTGCAAGACGTTTTATATTTGTGCTGTTATTGAAAATTAGTGCGAGTCAGTTTTTGTAATACTGATGATTTTAACTTCACCGATTAATATATATATTTTTTTGGCTTAGTGCGTCGTCATATTCAACAGCCACCACGTCACTTTCCACTTCATCAAGGTAAGTTTTGAAGAAACACATCTTTTTTAAACCGTATTGTAACCGATCATAATTCCAGTGGGTTAGACATTAGCGAAGCGATGTAGGATTAGCATCTACAGACCTCTCGTATCACAGTTGTTATTTCGAGCTTTTTAAGTCTTGTACTTCAGCAGAGGTTTAACGCTCAATTTTGATCCTAAAGGGCAGTTAAGCCTTCCTTGTGGCCACCGCGTTGATACAGCCATCTCGTTATTACGGCTACTTTATTTTGGCCCGAACAAAAGCTCAGCCAGTCATTTTCTAATTTAAAGAACCCATTTAATACGGCCACCCCGTTAATACGGCCAGATTTTTGTGCCCCATTAGTGACCGGATTAACGGGGTTCCGTAGCTGTTCCATTGCCATAATTCCCTTTTTATTGTGTAAAGGTCGGCACACACGAGAGGTTAGTCCTTGCGACTAGTCCCTGCATATAGTCCCCTGAAGAGTTTACACGAAGGGACTGGTCGCAGGGACTTGTACCACGAACAGTTCACACGAAGTGTTTTGAGGAACAAGTCGCAGGGACTTGTCCCAAATATTCAAACTACCAAACTTTGGTCCTTGCGACTAGATTTTAAGTAAAAGTGGCTAGTTAACACGATGGGACTGACCCGACCATAAAGTGTATGCGAAAGACTTCTCCCGCGTCAATTGACGAGCATCTCACGCATGCGTGCAACAACATTTTTTGACGTTAGGACTGACTAGTTATTTTGTTGTTGTCGTTTGTTTTTGTTTTGTTTTGTTTTGTTTTGTTTTTTAAATGATGGTCCTTTATTTGCCTCCGATATCGGAATTTTTCGAAAATCTTCGGATTATGCACGAATAGAAAATCCCCTAAAAAAGGTTTTTTCATTGCCGTAGTATGATCTCACATATTGAGCTAGACCCTTGAACAGTCATTTTTCATTTCCGCACCCAGACGTTCAGGTCAAACGTTTGGCTCACGTAGAACCTTCAAGACATTTATGGTCAATAACTAACTTTTGTTCTTGTTTGTTTTCTAGTCTCACCACAAGCTATAGTACTTCAATTAGTACTACTATTACTCCTACATCCGCCTCGTCGTCGACGCCAGTATCAAGCAGTAAGTTGTTTTAAACCTTTCAGAAAAGTTCTTTGAAATTTAGTTCTTAGATGAGCTCCTGGATTAAGTTCTAGCATGTACTTATAGGTCTCAAGAGAAGACATATCAGGATATCGTAGGTTACTAGAAATTGAGCACCGGACTAAAGGAAATAAGATATATTTACTGTACAACAAAATGTTCAACACTCCAACACATCAAGCGTCTTTCAATACCCTCCCCACCCCCTTCTGCCCCTTTTGGCCTGCGATATAGGGGCTCTCTCGTCCTGGGTTCAAAGTGTTTTCCGCTGAACGATATGAATGCAATCGCAGGGTGGCGCCTGCACTCACTTCGCATAACGGCTTTCTATAACGAACGTTTCGACTCTTTCGAACCTCTGCGGAAGACAGGGATATAGGGGACAGATATTAAAAAACCTAGTCTGAAATAAGGCACCGATCTTTGAGCGCTGTTACATTTCTTTTCCTAATGCTGCGCAATTTATTTCATTGTGGTATGTTTTCAAGTAAACTTCAGATAAAATGCTAACGTTATTCTGGACTCTTTTACAGGCTCGGTTTGTCCGATTTGCAAATACACAAACACATTGAACGAGACTGAGTACTACCACGTGAGTCGAGATTGAAACTTTGATTCTCTTTACTTAATACCGTACATTTATTACAGTGGCAGTTGTGAGAATCTTGTTATGCACGAAAGAATGTTTTTCCATATACCGCAAAGTTTTGCTTATAAGCCCTGGGCTTATAAAATTTTGTAAGGGGTTTTGGATGGGCTTGTCAACAGAGGAACTTATATCTGGGGGGGAGGTTATAAGTGGAAGTTTAAGAAAAAAATTGTTTCGAAGTGAGCCACAGCAGTGTTAATGGCAATGCGTTGTTCATAGAATGGTTTTTAATTTAGCCTTAAAACATCATAATAAATCAATTTCATTCCATTTTTTACTAGAGCAGGGCTTATATCCGAGGGGCTTACAATCAGAAGCATTATTTTGTTTACAAATAGATGAGCCTGTAACCAGGCCGGTTTATAAGCGAGGAGGGGGAGGGGGCTTATAAGCGGCAGTCTACGGTATAGGATAATGCGAGGTGATTCAATGATTTTCATCCAAACTTTTCATCTTTTAGGAGGGTGATGTTTGGACGGACGGGCCATGTATTACAGCTTATTGTAAAGTGGTTTATAATGACTGCTTCAATAACAATAAAACCGCTCAAATAGAGAAGGACAAGATAGTCTGCTCTGAATGTCCACCGGTAAGCATGTCTGCCACTCCACTATGTATTGCTGATTTACAGACAAATTGTTACAACCGGTACACTGGAAAAAAAATTCCTGGGAATCTTCGTGGAATAGTAAGCGGGATGCCAGTGCGAAGGCCTTTCCGGGTTTAAAATTTGGATTTTAGGATTTTGGGAGGTGGGATGCGAATTTTGTCGTGACTTGTTTGGGTTAAAGGTCAAGAAAGACTTAAAACCCAGGGGAACTCCCATGTAAAAAGGACGGGGGTGCTCGTCGGAAATTTGAAAAGAACTCCTAAGAGGTACCGAGATCCTGTTTTGTGGGCGTGGCTTGGAACTTTTTTCGCCACGAAGAGGTACCAATTCTAAAACAACACATTATCTCCTGTCATATTATTTCGGCTCAATACGCTAAAAGGTACTGCAAAAAGCCCCGCTGAGGGCCTTTTGAGGCTGAGCACCCTAAGAAGTACGAAAACCGGTTTTTTAACCCCTGAAAGGTACGAAGAGCACCCCCGTCCTTTTTATATTTCCCCCGGGCTTAAAAGTCGATACTAATGTTAAGCTGTAAAAACATAAATTGCCTTCTGTGTTCAAGTTGCATTTAGCAGATCCTCGAGTCCCAACAACAACAGCACTTCATTTATCTAACCGTCATAACAACCCGAATATAATTAACCATTAATTAATCATGACCCTTGAAAACGTTAATTATGAACTGGTATCGCAAAAAAAGGGGGAGTTTTAATCTCGCAAATTTTCCCAGCTGTGACATAAAAGTATAACAAGCGCGTATATTTTCCTCCAAGGGATTTATTCGACCTCCTCCACAACCGGACGTCTGCTGCCCAATGTGTGGTATGTAATTTTCATGTGCTTCTATTAATTAAAGGAGCGGTTTCACGTCTCTGCGCATGTGCAAGCTGTAACATTCACCCATTCTATTCCATTGTTTACGAAGCGATCAACAACAAGCTGATGATTTTTGCAGAAATGTTTCTTTGATAGTTTCGCGTCAGTCGCGAAAACGCTACAATAGAGGCGATTGGAATTCTCTTTGTATTTTTTTATTCCAAGATGGTGGATGATGCACTACTCAATTCCCTTGTTTATGAACCAATCGGATACGAGAAGATCACTCGTCCGTGAAAACATAGGAACACAATAGTTAATAGAGGGGACTGGTTATGAAGCCCGGCAAACATCAAAGGAGCAAACAAAGATGCCAAGATTTTTGTTGGAAGGTCCTCGACCGTGCACAATCTTTTNTACGGAGTAAACAACTATTGTGTTTTGTGCACGGTCAAGGCCAAAAAAGCGAACAAAAACATACAACAAAGACCTTTGTCGGGTTTCATAACCATTCCCCTCTATTAACTATGGGAACACATAGGAACACCTTCCTTTATTTGGTTTAAAATATTGCATGAAAAAGCGAAATTATTCACATCTGAGAAGGGACGAAGGAAACGTTTTAATCAATCAATCTTTTTTTAAGACACGAAATCTTATCATAAAAATGGTCTTCCTAGGAGTGGCGTCGAAAATTGCAAAGAATAAATTAACTATGTGAACAGGAATGCATTAACTAACATTACTTTACATTACGTAAACCAACGAACTAATTAACTACCCTTTAATAAAAACCTGTGTAATAAAACTTTATCTAATTTATAGTGCACTAGGAATAATCTTTCCCATTCAGTGAGGTTTTAAACAGTTTTCAACTGGGCAGGTGTCTGATTTTCGAGGGAATCTTGTTCCACAGAACAGATTTTCTGTAATGCAGGCTACCTTTTGCATATTCCGTTCTTGGTCTGGGGACATAGCAATTTATCTCAGATCTCGTAACAACGTAGTCTGCAATAGGTCCAGTTCTTCTTGCCCAAAGATAACTCTGTCATCGCTTTTATGATTCAATGCAGTGTACCGTATCCGACGTATGTTCAGACAACACCACTACTTTGTTTTTTAGAGCCAATAGAATCAGAGATAGCGAAGCCACCAAAAGAAGGAGAGGTCTGCAAGCTGCACACAAACGACGCACCGGAGTTTGTGAAGACTGGGGACAAATGCATTTCGAAACACAAGTACAGAGTCACCTCCTGCCGTGGCAATTGCGATTCCAGGTCGGTTGCTGTGACTGGTGAAAGCCTGTATGATGCCGATTGCACATGCTGTCAACCCGCTGTCTATCAGACAATAGACATTCCTGTGGTCTGCGACGGCCAAGAAAGAATTGCCAAGTTCACTAACATCACTATGTGCAAATGCGAGAAGTTCGAATGCCAGGCAGGTCCGTCACATGACAAACAGGTCCAAATTAACGGAGAGGGTATTGTCGTGGATAACTCCATGAAGAAAAAGCGGCGTCGGCGTGCACTTTCGCGCTTGTTTGCGCTTCCTCCGTAGCGGATTAAAAAAAGAGAGAGAGGTGTACAAGTATATGGATAGTTTAGAAAAGAAATTATAAGTCTTGGACGGGAAAGAAGAATATATTATTACAGAAATATACCTGGAACATGACTTCGGGAATGGGGGAAAGTTTACGATATTGAGTGTAAACAGTAAAAGGGATTGCACGAATTGAAATAAACTTTATTGAAGGGGACTAAAATGTTGTTATTTATTGTGTCTTGCAGTCGGTAAGCCCTTGCTGGGAAAGTAATATATCAAACAGACACTAGAGATCGTGTCTTATGACATTTTTAAACACCGTTGAGAGAGAAGATATGATCCGAACACTCACGATTATGATTTGTTTGTTGTTGCTGTTGTTGTTGTTGTTTATTTCTTTGTTTTTTTAACGAGTTTAAGAATATTCAATCAATAAATAATAATTGGTCCCTGTAGTAGAAAACTATGATCATAATGGCAGTCTTGAAATACGCTTGCCTCGTCTTAAATCTTTGTGCTCTAGCTTTAAAACAACGAGAAGATTTGGAAGCGAGTGTAAGTGCTCTCGTTGCTGTGACAGTAATGCTGCTGGCCAAAATGAAACTTTTTGCCCTGAATAACAGTCAAATATGAAATAAGACTTCCTTGTCACTTGACTATAGATCACTCCGTCATGGATCCGCTAAGATCTTCAATCAGGCAGTCATAAGTAATATATCAAACACAAAAGACCGTGTTTCATCACATTTCCAAACATCCAGAAGAGAGTTGAAAATACGACGCGCAACGGAGTATTACAAACGAACTTCGAGGTGCTCGGAAATGTGGTCAAACATGGGTTTGATATATCTTCTCAATCTGAATCGAAACTAACGATAAGGAGAAAACGAAGAAATAAAATCATTAAAATCAATGCTAATCAGATATCTAAATACTGTCAAGAAAACAGGAGCGCAAAAGTACAAGTCATCTCTAGTTAGTAATTTCCATGGATGCCAAGAAAAGAATCCACCGCAAAAAATCATTGATCTGCCTTACCGACCAAACCTCCTGCCGTCTGTCCTCTCTGAAGGAATTTCAAAAAGACATAACTTAAGCAAGGTCTTTCATTTTATCATTGCATATTTTCCAAAGCAAGAAAAGGCTGTCAATAAAAACTACATTTCATTTGCTTATAGGTAGCGTTAAATTTGCTACCTAATTCAAGAAGTCCCTCTGTAGCCCAGTGGTTACATTTCCGAGCTTTGGTTTGGAAGGGCATGCCGTTCAGCCCCCCGCAGCGGGACTGCTTTTTTTCATCTTCTTATCATTTCCATCCAAGTTAGGGATGAAAAGACCTTTTAAGAAAGTACAATAAATTTGGCTGACCGTAAAATATACTCAAGTTATTGTCTTTTTTTTATTTAAGCTCTCATTATTAGCTTGTATCCAATATGAGAAGACCTGCATAAGAACAGATCTTAAGCTTGATAGAAATTTCACTATTTTTGGTTGGGAAAGATTAAACACGGGATTTCAAAAATACTCTGTAACTTAAGCAATGTTTTTGTTTTCATTGCAAATTTTCCAAAGCAAGATAAGGCTGTTAATAAAAACTGCATTTGATTTGCTTATAGGTACCGTTTAATTTGCTACCCAATTCAAGGAGTCCGTCTGTAGCCCAGTGGTTACATTTCCGAGTTTCAGTTCGGAAGGGCATGGCGTTCAGCCCCCGCAGCGGGACTCCTTTTTTCATATTTGTGTTAGACTCAATTTTGTTTTCCGTACAATCTTCTTTTTTTGTTTCAACCAAGTTAGGGATAAAAAGACCTTCTAACAAAGGACTACAGACCTAGCTGACCGTAAAATATATACAACTTATTTTGCCTTTTTTTAATTTAAGCTTCCTTTATTAGCTTGTATCTAATAGGCGAGGACCTGAAAAAGAACGGATCTTGATTGAAATGTTATTTTTTCTTGCTTGGGAAAAATTTAAAAAGGGATTTCAAAAAGACTCTACAACATAAGCAAGGTCTTTCATTTATTTTATTGCATATTTTCCAAAAAAAACTGTAAAAAAAAGTTTAAATATTTGAAAAACGACCTTTTGTGTTTATCAGCGTATAAGCGGGTTCACGTGGGCTTAATATAAACAAAGGGAATGCAAATTTGTAGCAGGAGAAAGCGTGCAAAGAGTTTTGTCGTTAAAAATTCCTGACGTGTGTGTTAGCTGATTGGTCTAATCTTGTTTTGCATATTTATGATGACTATTGCTGACCTGAGGCGCTTGTTTGTCATTTTGATATGTTTGCCGTCGGAGTAAGATGTGTAGGGCTCCCTTCTTTGCTAGACGCGAATTCTTACTTTGAAGAACAAATGGTCTCGACGTTTGGGGAAGTGAATACGGTTGACACCCATTTCTGCCAATGGTTAGTATCAATTTCTTTGCATTCTGTCTTTTGTAAGTAAAATTTCAATCAAAAATTTCGACTCCAAGTCCTACCACGTGCGCTTGCCGGACTCGGCTTACATTTCGTGTTGAACTTAACAACGCACCGTAAGAAGCTAGTTCAGGAACCATACGAGACGCTAGGTTCTTAGCGGTTTTTTCGATGAAATTTTGACCTTGTACATGAAAATGGCGTTTCTTTGCGAAACTTCGTCTTGTACTTGACAACGCGCACTCTTGTTTAAAAAATATTCAGTGAATTCTTTAACTCCTCATTAAGTCGTTGTTTCACACCTGGGTTTGTTCCTTATGCAATTTTTATATATTTTATTTTTAGGGTTGCCAACAAGACCGTGAGGAAATCAAAAGGATTCAAGCAGGGAGGATGAAGACAAAGTTGAGAATAGATTTCGAAAATTCGGTTGAATTGGAATCTCTCCGATAAGAAATGGCAGTCTTGAAACTAGACAGGATACTGTCGAGTTCAAAACTTTGTAGTTCAGTGAAAATCGTTTTTTTTTCTCGACTGAAATATTTGCATTCGAGTCGGAAATTCGGGCGCGGCAAAAAAATAAAATGAAATCGGCAGTGATTGTTAATTTAGAACGAAGCGCGCGAAGTCAAAACATAGAATGCAAATTACTGGAACCCCGAGAGAGTCAGACAACATAAGCGTGCTCTGAGAGAAATAGGAAGAAACTGAACGCCAAATTTTCGTTTCAAAAATTGTTTTAGGAACACTTGCTCACGCGCTTGAAAAAAGCTTCAAATCTTTCACCATTCCATTTTGTTTGTCTGAGTTTGTTTGAGTTATGAAGTCACCCGCGCGCTTCGCTATTCTGCCATTTTTGACGGAGAGGTTTTAACTGCTTTCCAGTTATCATTTAGTGCATGTTTTCAATTGGTGGGGAGTTCCATTCTTTGCTCGAGCGATCAACTTGATTGAACTATGTTTTATCGGTCGGCATTTGCATGCTTTACTACGTGCACTTTGTCAAGTCGAGTATGGTTTGATTCTCTTTTTGAAAATTCCAAATTCGTGTATAATCGCTCAACTCTCCAAGTTTGAAAACCTGTTACTAGGCGATAACATTTGTAGAGTATTTTAAGGTGGTGCTGCATGTGAAAACCAAACCGTGATAGTAACTATTGGTTACGTGATCATGTCAATCATAACAAATTCTGTTTTGATATAAAATTGGACAAACGGTACAACGCTGAACATTTAATTTGTCGTGTTCTCCTAAATCGCATTTCAGCACTAAGTTCACCTGAAGGTCTAGTTTCAATTTATGATGTGAATTGTCTATTGAAGGAAAATGCCGTTGCTAAAAAACAATAATGACTGGTCGTGGACAATTGCTTCAGTTTAGCCATCAAACTTTATGTTCTCGGACAATCATTTCTTCTTTTCAAATCTCAGGATTTTCAGAGACGAAATTAAAGAAGTTTCTTGATTGATTCTTCGAAAAACGTTCGGTTGATATTTTGTGTTTTGTTTTTTTGGAAGGGAAATAAGAGCAAAAAAGTCAACCAGAAACCAAATATATCATCTTGTTTAACTTCCAGCGAGGCTGTAATGAATTATGTCTGGTATCAAGCAACTCTTTCCATTATCGCTTTTCAAAAATGTAAGTCTAATTGTCTGATTTTTCGAATTGTTTTGGCTTTCATTTGTATTATCCGATATATTGAGTCAGTTTAGAAATGTAGCATCAATTGTCTGAATATTCTAAAATGTTAAAGCTACTATTTGCACTGATAAACATTTTTACCGAAAATGCTCGCGAATAGATCTGTTGTTTACAAAAATATGTGGTCCCAATTGTTTGATTGTTCTAAAATGGTATTGCTTTCGTCTGCACCCGACAGACAGATAGAATTCCCCTTTACATCTCTGATTTTCAAAACTTAGCTCAACTGTCCAATTCTTTGAAAATTTTATCGCTTTCATTTTTTCTAATTCACTTCGCATTTCTTATGAAAGAACGTAGCTCCATTTGTCCGCTTCTTCTAAAATATTTTTGTTATCGTTTGCTACTATACAGACAAACTTTTTCCAAAGATGTTATTCCAGTTGTCTGATTCTTTTAAAATGTTGCTTATTTCAGGCCAATAGTTTTGCTAAAAGTGTTTTACAGAAGCCATATGATATATAGTGGTACAATTTGAAGCTTGATAACCAGATATTAATCTTTATCACCTCGCTGGAAGTAATTTCTAGTAGATAACGAAGCAAGCCATGAACAGTTTTTTTTAATTGGCCTTTAATTTGTCGGGTTTTGCTTTTTCATCTCGGCTGGAGGTGACGGAAGTTCTAAAATTATTGAAACGTGATTTATTATGATTTGGTGGGAATTATCGGGTTCATGGCTTGCCTTTGCTATCTTCTTGAAATATATTGGATGATGATATCATGTTAAATAGTTAAGCTGTGAATTACGGGCAGCTAGAAATCTATTTCCAGAAATGAGACGAGCCAGTTAAAATATCTACTACTGCAACGTTTCTGCACAAAATTGAGATGATGGCTACATTTTAGAATCGCTATAGCCAAGAGAGTTTATGTAGTTGGGGCTCAAGTCACCCGGCTATATAAACCTTCTATATAATATTTCGATTTAGAAATGTTTTCACCCTCTCCAAGTTTAGGTTGCTCTTCTCATTTTTGTAAATAGGTTTCTAGCTGGTCGTCGTTTTACGGCTGACTATTTAACAAGATATTATCATGAAATATACCATCTTGAACACAAACAAATATTCACTGAATTCAAAATCGTTTTTTTTCGTTA